GTTTCTCATTTTGGTGAATTCTAGCTCGTCAATCATTTCCACTGTGGATGATGCTTCGGGGTCCTGTCTGAGGCTTTAAGCTTAACCTGAAATCATGAAGACCTTCTGCAGTTTTCATGTCGGGTGCGAGGCTGAGACGGAGGGTGGTTTGGGTGCCGTGCGTGTGTGCGGACGACCCGTTGCTCAAGCCCCGTTTGTGAAGGCCGCTGCCTCCTCCGTTGAACGGCTGGTGCACCTTTGCCAAAAGCCAGTCGTGCGTGGCTGCGTGGGTCTGTTTGTGGGTCTCCTGTGCCATTGACCTGTCTGTCCACTTTCCTGAACCACACAGGCTTTACAGGAAGTCTTAAAATCAGTGTGATTCAGCACTGCTTCTGTCTGTTTGCATTTAAGTTGTATGTTTCTATATCATCAAGGACTAGGGGTTCATTTTCTTGTTCTGCATTTTAACAAATGGCATATACGTTTTTTTTGTTTTTGTTTTGTTTTGTTTTGTTTTTTTTGATACAGAGTCTCGCTCTGTCACCCAGGCTGGAGTGCAGTGGTGCGATCTCGGCTCACTGCAAGCTCCGCCTCCCGGGTTCACGCCATCCTCCTGCCTCAGCCTCCCCAGTAGCTGGGACTACAGGCGCCCGCCACCACGCCCGGCTAATTTTTTGTGTTTTTTTAGTAGACACGGAGTTTCACCCCGTTAGCCAGGATGGTGATGATCTCCTGACCTCATGATCCCTCCCACCTCGGCTTCCCAAAGTTCCGGGATTACAGGCGCGAACCACTGCACCCAGCCCCCAAAGTGCTGGGATTGCAGACGTGAGCCACCATGCCCGGCCTAACAAATGGCATATACTTTTAGGGAGTAGGTCTCCCCATCTCCCTCCTACCCCCGCCAAGGCTCTGCTGGGCTCCACCAGGCGGCCCTGCCACCCACCGACTGCCACCCACATCTGCACGGACTCCCCTGGTGGGGCTGCCTGTGCGGTCTCTGATGGTGTCACCTGGGCGAGTCCCCAGTGACACACTGCTTTGGGGATGGGAACAGGGCTCGCCATCTGGGGCGTCCTGCCGTGGCGTTGGCCCGTGGACAGGGTCTTGGGGTATTTTGCCTGGGGAGGATGTGAGGCTCCTCAGAACCCAGTCAGTGTCCCCCAGGGAGTTGAGAAAAGTTACGGCAAGGCCAATGACACCCGATTTCCCTCCAGACCTGCACGGCCCCCTCCTTCCAGCGTTCGTTCATTCTTTCTGAGCGTTGTTATCGTGGTAAAGCGGACATAAGATGGGCCATTGCAGTGATTTTTTACGTGCGCGGTTCAGTGGTGCTAAGTGCGTTCCCACTGTTGTGTGAGCATCACTGCCGTCGGCTCCAGAACTCCCATCTTCCCCAGATGAACCTCTTGTCCCCATGAAACGGTCCCTCCCCGTTCCCCCACCCAGCCCTGCACCCACCCTCTTTCCCGCTTCCGTGGACCTGACAACTCTGGGGGCTGCCTGCGAGTGGAGCCCCGGGGTGTATCCCTCTGTGTCTGGCCGCTTCCTGAGTCTGGTGTCCTCCAGGCTCAGCCACCCTGTCCCAGGCTCCCCTGGTGTCACCCGGCTGGGAGCAGCAGGACCTGGAAGGCACAGTGGGGGCTCCTTCTCGGTCCCTGAAGGCCCCAACCCCGCGTCCTGGGCTGCATTTGTCGTTGTGTTTACTTCGCCCTGTGTGGTCCAGGGAGGCTGCCCACCTGCCCACCCTCAGTAGCTGGGCCCTGCTGCCCGGGAGGCTGCTGCTCCGAGCCCTCCCGTTGTGACCCTGGCACACCTTCCATGCGGGGGGAGCTGTTGCTCATCTCCATGCAGTTGGCTTGTTGCTCTTCCCAGCCGTTCCCAGATGTCACCGAGAGGTTTGGAGGGCACCATCCTGGCACCTGAGTTTCTTCACAGGGCTGTCGAGGGTGAAGGCGGCAGTTCTGCTATGGCGGCCAGTCCTGGAGTGATAGGAGGCCACGGATCCCCCAGTACCCAAGACCCAGGCTCAGGAGGGACCTTGGTGTGACTGGCAGGGGCCTCTTCCCTGCTCACAAGCCCATCAAGGGGCCTCCCGCCACTCTGGGAACCCAGCTCTGACCCTGACTCATGGGGCCTCTGCATGGCCCACCCGGGGGCCACCAGGGATGAGCCGTCCTGTCTCTGCCGTGAACAGGTCTCTCTGTGGGTTCTCTTTTAAAGCCCAGTTGTAACTTGGACCTTGAAGCTCAGTTCCTGCGGAGGGTGAGTTGGGGGTCGGGAAAGTGGAGGCTGCGTGAAGACATTTGAAGCACCTTTGCAGTTGAGCTTCGCTCGGTGTGGGGTATTTTTAGCCAGCAGCAGCATCCAGTGCACGGCAAGGCAGAAATAGAAGAGGTTTTTTTGGCCGTTCTGATGCTGACAGTCTCTGGCTCTTGGGGAGTCGGGCAGGGGCTGGGGAGGGGCGGGCGTGCCGAGCACAAACCACTTCTGCTGTTTAGAAAAACATCTCGGGATGAGGTGGTTGTGGATGGGGAATTATTTCTGTTGGTGAACTCTTTATGTAAATGCCACGCACCGCGCTGCTCCTCTGCGTGTGTAATCACAGCGGGCTGCACCGGGGGTGGGGGTGCGTAATTATGTTTTAAAATACCACCCGGGTTGTTTTGCTGTGTTCCCTGAGCACCCGGCTAATTCTGGGCTTATCCTGCGGTGCTCTGCCACCCCCGGGAAATGCTGCCTGACCCCTGCAGCGGCCGCGCAGGGGCTGGCACCCACCTTCGAGGCCCCCTTTCTGGCCTCTGTTCTGCCGCGGCCTCCGCTCGGGTGTCCCTGGGTCTTGGGAGGCTCCCTCTCCTCCCTGGGACTGATAGGTGCAGTGTGCACCGCGCTCATCCTGGGCGAGTGGTTCCCTGGGGAAGGGAGTGTTGGGGTGACTCCAGGGTGGGTGATTTCAGACACCGCGTGGTTCTCAGGAGTGGAACCCACTGTCTTCAGTGGGGCGCCCACTGTAGAATTGGGACGTGGGGTCCTCAGTAACCGAGGTTTCAGCCCCCCAGGGCTGGGTGGCCTGACCCTCCCTGACAGGCGCTGGGTGCAAAGGTGACTCCAGCTGACTCCGGGACCCTCCCTGCCTCCTGTCCTCCTGAGGCTGCTCCCCAGCAGCCCCCTTGGCAGCCCCCACACCCTGAGGCTCAGCCACTCCTGCAGTGTTTTTCTGTGACTCTCCAAAGTGAGGGTCGTGGTTTGGAGAGACGGGGAACCGGGACAGCATGGCCAGGCGCACCTGTCTCTGAGCATCCTGGTGCAGCTGCTGGTGGGCTCTGCATGGAGCTGCCTGCCCCGAGCCTGCTGGACACACAGGTTCCACCCTGCCCCTCCCTCTGCACACCTGGGACCAGCAGGTCCTGCAAGCTACCCCACCCCGCCCCCCACCGGGGGACTTCCCATCTCACTGAGGCTGCCTGGGGACCGTGCCCTGCCCTTGGCAAGCAAGGTCCAGCCCTGGGTGGCCTGAGGGCCTTTCCCACCTGCAGGCTGCCCTCGTGCAATCGGGCTGGTGGAGGCTGTGCCGTGGGGCCTTCCCTGCAGGCCTTGCAGCTTGGTGGGGTGTGCAGGAGCCCAGGGCAGTGGGATTCCCTAGTGAAGGCAGCAGACTGGGGAGGTGGCCCTCTCAGGGCCTTGTCTTTGGTGCTGGGACACAGGAATGAGGGAGGCGGCGCTCTGCCCTCACCTGGGCAGGGTGGCTGTGTGGGCAGCCTGCCAGGCTGGGGTGTGAGGAGTGCCAGACTGGTGTCCACAGTGGCATTTGAGTACTGGGGGTCCGCTCAGGGAAGCTGATCTTCACCCTGGAACCCTGCTGGGCTTGTGAGGACCCCTGTGTGAGGGTGGGCCCTGTGAGGCTTCCTGGGACTCAGGGTAGCGGGGGGAGGGGACAACAGGAAAGTGGGGACCCGTGGGGAAGTGGGAGCCCCAGGCATTGCTGGGCAGGATCTGGGGCTGGCCAGGGCTGTGTTTCCTCGGCCCCACGTGCCTGGTGCATGCTGGGTGTCCACCAGGTGGTTGTCAGATGAGGGGTCTCGGCCCTGGCCCTCCGTGAACACTCTAGAGGGGCTCTGTGACCCTGACAGCAGAGAGTCCCGCCCGAGGACCCCGGGGTGGCACCATGGGCTGTGTGGCCCAAGAGCCTCCAAGGGGCCCATCTGTGACGCATGGTGCCACCCGGGTCACGCTGCGCAGCTGCAGGTCTGGAGGGTGCAGGGTCCCTGGCCATTGTCTGCCCCAGCAGTGGTTTGTCAGGGACAGTCCCAGACAACGGGAGGGCTGCCCCTGGTGTTGGCGCATCTGTCGGCCTGGCTGTTGGCAGGTGTTTATGGAGCTGCTCCTCGTCAGGCCAGCGCGGTCCCAGGCTGTGTTCTTGGATGCACTGAGTCCCCATGTCCTTGCCCATGAGTCGGGTGGCCGTGCCCTACTGCCCCTTGCTGGGAGCTGCTGGGAGAAGAGTTGGGGGCCACAGTACCTGTCACCCTTGTCCAGCTACCCGCCTCTCCTCCACCCGGCAGTTTTTATGGCCCCAGAGGTGGTTGCCCTGCTGGCCCCGCCAAGCCATCCTCCATCCTGTCTCATGCTGTACTCTCCCTTGGGGCCCTGAGCACTGAGCTGTCACTCCTGCCTGGCCAGCAGGCTCTGCATAGCACCCTCCCAGGAGCCAGCCCTCAGCAGCTCATTCCCTGGGCCTGGGTGGGCATCCCTTGCCTCACATCTTCTGCTCACTCATTCACAGGGGCTTCACTGTGAGGGCAAGGCCAGGTGGGTAAGAGGGCACCAAGTGTAGGGATGGGGCAGGCTAAAGCCAGTCTGACCCAGGCCAGCAGGAGAGCGGCACAGAGTGGCCTCACCTGGGCCCAGGGAGGCAGAGTGGGTCTAACCCAGGCCCCAGGGAGCATGGAGGGCAGGCGAGCAGGCACAGAGCAGCCCAGCCTCCCAGATGCCCACCTGACCGGGTTGTTCTGGGCCCACAGTGCAAGAGAAGCCTGAGCCAGTGCCGCTGGAGAGCCGCTCCTGCGTCCTCATCCGCCGCGACCTCGTGGCCCTGCCTGCCAGCCTCATCAGCCAGATCGGATACCGCTGCCATCCCAAGCTCTACTCGGAAGGGGACCCCGGAGAAAAGCTGGAGCTGGTGGCAGGTGAGGCTGCCTCCCACCCATCTATTGTATGCAAATGTCCTCACTCATTCATTTATTATTTCTTTTTTGCGGCGCTCTGAACAATGTACTCATCACCAATCAGTCAAAAAAAAAATCTTAAATTTCCTGTAATTTCCTTTTAGAAGAATGTGTCATTAAGAGAAGTTATTCAATTGAATTAATTTAGCATTTTAATTGAATCCCCTGGGCTGGTCGCGCTCCTGATTGGCAGGGGCTGCAGTCGCAACGTGTTTTAATTTGGGTCACAGATAAAACCATGTCACGTATGGTTGCCAGCCCTCCCGCCCCCCGAGGGTCCAGTTGCAGCCTTTGGGGGTAACGGCCGGGTTCTGAGTGGTAGCTGCTGTCAAGGCGGGATCCTTCTGGCGGAACAAACACGTCGGAGTCCAGAAGCCCGTGGGGGCCAGGCCTCGCTCAGGAATGTTTACCTTTTGTGTTGGATTCCTTTGGCGTCATAGCTCCTTGTAGATTTTTACAACCGTTCAAGGAGAAGATGAGGCAGGCTGAAGCCAGTCTGACCCGTGCCATGGGCATCTTCTTTGGTGACTATTGGGCCATTTTCCGGGGATTTCTTCCTGGTTTTCCGGGAAGCCCCAAGCTGGGGCCCTCAGGTGCTTTCCTTGGCCACAGCCTGAGCAGTTCTGCCCCAGCCCTGTCCTGTTCCTGTCCACCCCCAAGGGCCACACCTTGGGCAGCATGTCAGGGTCCTCCCTTCCCAGCAGGATGAGTGCCTCAAGTGTGCGCCGCCGCCTAAGGGTTGCCAGTGGCCTGGGCTGGCCTTACCTTCCAGCTGCCAGGGACTTCGGTCCTCATGGGAGAGCAGCCTCCTGGGCTGCACCTGGCGGTGTTGGGCTGCCCTGGCCAGGAGGGGTAAGGGCCCACCTTGCTGTGCCCTGAGCCCTCACCCTGCCCTGGCACTGATTCTGGATGGGGAGCGCAGTGCTGGGCTGCCAGGGCTGGGTGGGCCCCTGGGGTTGGGCTCTGGGGCACAGGTGCCCACATGGGCCCTGGTGCGTCACATTGGTGTGGTCCTGGGAAGACAGTCTGTCACCCCAGCCTCCAGCAGCTGTGGCCTGTGTTTGGGGTGTGCGGCTTCAAGTTTATGAGCTCCTCAGGAGAGTTCCTCCAGCCCTAGACCCTGGCAGGGAGGGCCTGTGGGAGCAGTGGGTCAGGAGACGGGCCATGGCAGGAGGAGGCCATGGGCACTACAGGCTCCTAGAAGCAGGCACACCTGGACATCAGTATCCTTCAGCACGTGGCATCTCGTGGTCATTGAGATTGGCTGTCCCCAGAGAGCGGTCCCTCCCCGTTGTTCCCAGCGGGGTCAGTCCTGCTGCTGGTTCATGCCCTCGCTCACCCAGACCCTAGTGGGACACCTGAGGTGTGGTCAAGTTTCTGAGGGTAAATAGCACAGCGTGGACCTCCCTGGCCACGCCGCTGCCCCGGCTGGTTTCCCCCTTCACACATACTCAGAGGAGGTCAGCGCTGGGCCCTGCAAAGCTCCAGCCATACCCTCCAGTCAGGGGATTCCGTGTCCCTCATCGTTGCTTGAGGCTCTTTGGTATCTGGGACGGAGCAGAAAGGCAAAGACATGACTGTTTCCCCAAACCCAAGGCCAGAGCCAGCCCTTCAGAGTGTGTTCCCGCAGGCCAGGTGCCGTGCCCCACTCCTATAATCCCAGCACTCTGGGAGGCCCAAGTGGGAAGATTGCTTGAGGCCAGGTGTTCAAGACCAGCCTGGGCAACATAGGGAGACTTCATCAAAATTAACTAGGCATGGTGGTGGCGCCTGTGGTCCCAGCTACTCAAGAGGCTGAGGTGGGAGGATCACTGGAGCCCAGGAGGTCGAGGCTACAGTAAGCTGTGATTGCACCACTGCTCTCCAGCCTGGGCAACAGAGCAAGATCCCGTCTCTAGACAGCAACAAAGCATGTTCCCAGGGAGGGAGCTGAGCCCGGGGGCCGCAGCATAGCGGGGAGAGCTTGGAGTTTGGGGCTCGTTGGGGAGAGTGGGGGGGTTCCGTGGCTTTCCCCACCCCCTGCTTAGTTCCATGTGTGATTTGGGACCTGCTGGGGCTGGCCTTGGCCGTGGCCTCTCCTGGTGACCAGCAGGTGGGACCTCAAATTGCTCCTCCCAAAAAAAAATCCTGGAGGCCTCCAGCTCCTCCCCACCCTCCCCCTCACCCCTCTGTGCCCCTCTTCGGACCCTAGTGGCCCGGGAAGGCCATGAGCCCTTTTTCTTTGTGGCGGCCACAGGCTCTGGGGTCTACATCACACGCGGCCAGCTGATGAACTGCCACCTCTGCGCAGGGGTGAAGCACAAGGTCTTGCTGCGGAGGCTCCTGGCCACCTTCTTTGACAGGTAGGTCGGGGCAGGGGTGCTGGAGGGCACCGTGGAGCTGCGGAGGGTTCTGGCTCCTTTAGCTGTGAGCTGTCTGATTGTCCAGGGTTGTGGCATTGAAAGTCCCCTTGCATTCCTGACTTCAGCCGCGGCCTGTCAGCGCCAGGACGGTGGAGAGGCTCCCGGGGAGCGAGGGGCTGTCTTTCATGGTCTTTCTCAAAGGGCCTTATGGATGCAACCCCCACAACAAAAAAAGCAAAGAGCCACACTTACTCTGTTGTGCGGATGGGCTGACAGAACCCTTCCCGAGGACACAGCAGCTTCCTCAGATGCCCCCAGAGTCCCTGAGGACAAGGCTTGGGTCACCTTGCGGCCCCGTCACCTGGTCATCTTCTCAGCCCAGACGCTTTTCCTTTGTCTTGTCCCTTAGAGGGTGGCTGGGCTGGCTGCTGCCACTGGACCACGAGCTGGGACACATGCAAACCAGCCAAGGGTGAGGCCAAGTGGCCTCCCAGCAGGGCATTCGCACGGGCGGGTAGCCTCCAGGTCCCCTCTCCATCATCCTCACCCTTTCTGGTCCCTCCACCAGGAACACGCTGGCCAACAGCTGTGGGACTGGCATCCGCTCGTCCACCAGCGACCCCAGCCGGAAGCCGCTGGACAGCCGGGTGCTGAACGCTGTGAAACGTAAGAGCCTGGGGTCTCCCGGGTGGGGGGCTGGGGCTGGGGCTGGGTTCGGATCCCAGCCTGAGGAGGACTGGGTGGGCCCCGGGGGTGCTCCCGGCCACCTGCAGCTTCTGTCCCCGGGGGCCGAGCGTGGTCGGATTGAGGGAAAGACAGGAGAAAAGAGCAGCTCTCAGAAGCCAGGTCTCGAGGTGTTAACGTTCTTGGTAGGTTTCCAAGTGTGATGAATTCAGCTGCGAAACTATTTTAATATGTGAAATAGATCTAATTTTCCTTTTTGAACAAAACCCCTTATTTACATTTTGCGGTTATTTTGAGCCTTTGCCATCTGTTCGGCCGGCTTCTGCCTCCCGCTCTTGGGCGTGTGGGGGCGGAGCCCGGTCCATCTCCGGGGCAGACCGCCGCCCCCCGGCCCGCACCCCAGATGTGGAAGATGCTGACTGCTGCCGGCTCACACCAGGTGGCCAAGAGCACAGCCTCCTGTGGCCCTCAGCCCAAGAAGCATTATCTTGTTTTCTTCCTTAAAAAAAAAAAAAACCTGTGAGGCAAATTCTGTTTTAGAGCAAAGGGGCCTTTGCATCCAGGAATTACAGTCCCAAAGCGTAGGGTGGCAGCTGCGGCTCTGGGAAGATTCTGGGAGGCACCAAGGTGGACGTGGCCCCTGGGGCCTGCCTGTGGGTTTGATGCCGTTGGGAGGAATGGCCCGGCCTTGGCCTGGGCTCTTGCTGGAGAAAGGAGGCGAGGGTTGCTGAAGTGACGGCTTCTGTCGCTCCCCTCCTCCAGGCTGGGACTGGGACGGGGACGGGGAGGGGTCTTGTTATTTCTGAGAGGGGGACCCTCTGACCAGTTCCCGTTAGCCAGTGGGGCTAGGGAAGCCCGGAGAGATTAAAAACAGGCCTGAGCCTCACAGCTGGCGGACAGCCAAGGCTGCTGGGCCTGACCAGGCCAGAGACTGTTCCAGAGGAATGGGGTGGGGAGGCCTCCCAGGCCGCGCAGTGAGAAAGGTGACCTCTGGTCTTCTGGCTGAGCCCAGGGGAGCCCCAGGAGCAGCCAGGGAGGCTCATCCAGGGCATCATGGTTCCGTGGCCTTGGGGAGGGGCGGGCCCTCCCGGCAGGCAGGTGGCTGAGCTCACGCCGCCCCGTCCTCACAGTGTACTGTCAGAACTTCGCCCCCAGCTTCAAGGAGAGCGAGATGAACGTGATCGCCGCGGACATGTGCACCAACGCCCGCCGCGTTCGCAAGCGCTGGCTGCCCAAGATCAAGTCCATGCTACCGGAGGGTGTGGAGATGTACCGCACGGTCATGGGCTCCTCGGCCGCCAGTGTGCCCCTTGACCCCGAGTTCCCGCCCGCCGCGGCACAGGTGTTCGAGCAGCGCATCTATGCCGAGCGGCGGAGCGACGCGGCCACCATCGTGGCTCTGAGAACTGACGCTGTGAATGTTGACCTGAGCACCGCCACCAACCCGGCCTTCGATGCCGGGGAGGAGGTGGATGGGGCCGGCTCGGTCATCCAGGAGGTGGCCGCCCCCGAGCCGCTGCCCGCCGATGGCCAGAGCCCCCCACAGCCCTTTGAGCAGGGCGGGGGCAGCCCCAGCAGGCCCCAGACGCCGGCGGCCGCGGCCCGGAGGCCAGAGGGCACCTATGCAGGGACTTTGTAAGCGGAGCTGGGTGGCTGCGCGAGGGACCGAGTACTAGAGCTGCTTGCATGCGTTACTAATACAAACAAATGTGATCAAGCCACTTACCTACTGAACTGCTACTGTTGCCTGAGAAAAATGTGATTTTTATTCTGCTTGTATTTAAAATTGATGAAGGAAACAAATGCATTCATTATACTGTAAACAATTAGGCCACTGGCAGCCTCCTGTGAGGAAGCTCCCAGGGCTCCCTTTTGATATTCACAAGGTCAGTCTCCACGTGTAGCTTCCCTCCCCCTTCTTGGGGAGGGCGGGAGGCCGCCAGGCCCCTGGTGCCCAGCCCTGCCCCTTCCTCCCTGCCCTTCCTGCTCCTTCTGCCCGGAAGGCGAAGCAGGGGCGGTGGCCTGTGGCGGGAGGTGGGTTGAGGGCTGGGGTGTGCGTCACTGACCCTTCCTTCCTTACCCGTGGAACCCCTCTGGGGTAATGGGGCAGGGCTCAGGTCCCAGGGCCCTAACTCCTCGTTTTTGCTTCTTTCTGAGACTCGGGGCCAGGCCCACCAGGCCTCCCACCTGTGTGGGGTGTGTGCACGAGTGTGTGTGTGTGTGTGTGTGCGCGCGTGTGCGGGGGCGTGGCGAGGGGGCAGGGATGGCTGTGGCTCACCCCTCGGGGGTGGAGAAAAGGGTACTTTATTCTGCCCCCTCACCCTGTCCTTGTTCTGCCCAATCTGTCTCGGCTCTGCAGCCCCTCGGTCCCCTGACCCCCAGGGCACCGCTGACCCTGCCTGGCCTCCCACTGTCCTGCCCGGGCCCACTGTGGGACATGCACAGCTGACGGAGCCCACGCCGCCCTCTGCCGCCTCAGCCACTTTGGGATTATGCTTGTCTTGTTTTTTTTAGGTTTTGTTGTAATTTAGATCTATTTCATGTATGGTTTGGAAACTTTCCGACTCAATAGAGCAAAAACTTTGGGTGGGATGGTGTACCTGTCCCCGGCCCACCACGACTTGGGGCGGGTCATCTGTGGCAGTCAGGGTGCACCCCCCTGGCCCCCCGCCCAGGGCCTGGGACCACTCCTCTCCCACTGGGGGAAAAAGGGGGTCCCGGATGGGTGACCAGTATGTGTGAAGCTGAGCTCAGGGTCCGACCCGGGGAGGGGGGCTCCGCTCAGGCAGGAGGCAGTGGCCAGGGCTGGGCCAGGGCGAGAGTGAGTCCTCCCAGTACTGGGCTCCCCATCTGCCTTGGGGGTGTGCATGGATGGAAGCTGCGGGCAGGAGGTGGCCAAGACAGGTCTGGGCTGGGGCAGTTGGAGGTGTGGGCACTGGTAGGGGACAGAAGGTTAGGGATGCATGTTGGGGGCCAGAGACAGTGGAGGAAAGGCCCATGGAAGATGGGGCTGGTAGGTTTTGAGGCTGGAGTGCTTCCTTTGAAATTTAATTACTATTTTTTAAGTGGTGGGGGTCACAGACCATGTGAAGTCCTATGTGAAGTGCTGGTGTGGCCACCTACCCAGGTGCCTCTCCCTTTTGTTTTGGGGGCCTGGGCCCTTGTCCAGGGGCAGCCGTCCTTCTGAAGTGTGGCCAGAAGAACCCCCCATCCCAAGACTTGAAATGTCTATTGCTCACCTCTGTCCCTCCAGAACTCGGCTTCCCCATCTGCGTGTGCAAAACAAGTGCAGCGCTGTACCCGTCAGCACCCCCTCCCGTGTGCACACAGGCCGGTGAGCGGTGGCCGACCAGCACACCCCACTCCCCCAACCTCCACAACCCATTAAGTGGAGGCCGCCCCCGCTAGGGGAGGACCTTGTGCTGCACCCTGGCTTGGGGACCTACAGGGTGTGGGTTAGACGCATTCCCACTGGGTGACCCCTTTCTGCCCCACAGCCCACCCCTGTGGCAAGGCCTTGGGAGACCTCCCGTGGGGCCGCCTCTGTAGACTGCACTCAACCCCCTGAGCTTCCTCCAGCCACGCCCAGCACGTGCCTGCCCTCTAGAAAAATAAGTTGTTTTCCAGAAGGAGGTGGGGGACCATGGGCAGACACTATGGACACTAACCTCGGCCCCTCCACCCGTTCCTCAGGGCCCAAGTCCAGGGAGACCAAGGCCTGCATTCCTAGGGCCGGAGGTGGGTCAGTGGTGCAGAGGCATCTGGACCTCCTGCTGAACTCAGAACCACCCAGCCTAGAGGGAGCCTCTCTCTGCCTCTTCCTCCCCTGTCTTGGGCCCAGGTGGGGTTGGAGCCCCCATGGGGCCCACTGGGAACCTGGACCAAACCTTCCTCGGAGCTGGGAGGAAGCGGGGGTGGGTAGGTGAGGTTGAGCTGCACTTCAGTTCCCTCTAGAGTTTCCTGCATCTGCCCCACACCCAAATTTGCACTTTAATTTGACCATGCCTGGGGGCCTGGCTGCTGACAGAAGGGCTCTCTCCGCCCTCCACTCCAAAGTGGGTGCCCCCCACCCTTGGCCAGGACAGGGAGGGAGCCGCTGGCCGCTGCTGGAGGTAGTGGCTGCACAGTGGACGCCTGACCGCTGCTCAGGCCTGCACAATGTCCCGTGGCCCCTTCCTCGTTTGTAATCGCCGTCTGTTCTGTTGTTCTGGGTAAGGAAGGCAAGAGCTATAGGTAAAACTTAAATAATAATAATTTAATGTGAATGGGTTCTGAGCTCTCCCTGCGCCCCGGGCGGGCCAGGCTGAGCATTTTGCACTAATGTGTCCCACGGTGGGCGTGAGTCGGGAGTGTCTGCGGACGTGCGTGGCTGCTGAGCGGACCTGCCGTGTGCTCCCTCCGCGTCCTGAATGTACCGTGGGGCGGGGGCGGCGGCCCGGGCTCGGAGGGGCCTTCCAGAGTGCCTTAGCATCCTTTGATCATTTTTCCCAAGGAAACCAATTAAGAAAGCCGGACCCTTCCCTCCTTTGTTTACAAGATGACTAATTCCAGAATCCGGGGTTGTCCTGTCCTGTGAGTGTGACCCTGACTCATCCAGACCCTGTAGAGAGAGACGAGCCACTCAGTATTTATGAACTGTCCGCACCTTTATCCCTAAGCCTGACTATTAGCAATACGCATATCCTCTATAGAATCTATTACAGAGCTACGTTATCTCCGCACCTTTTAAGGAGGACAGAAGGGACTGGACTGTGTTGGAGCTGCCGCCTGGCAGGTGGTGGGCCTGATACCTAGCCGCCTCTCCTGCCCTGCCCTCCTCTTCCCCAAGGGGATGGGCCCAGGAGGCAGCTGGTTTGCATGCAGAGGTCCAGGAGGGACCGGAGGTGTGACAGATACTGTGAGCCCGGCAGGCCGCGCCTGGCTGGGTGCCTCGGTACTTGAATTCTGTCTTGTTTTCCGCACTGTGTCTGCCCACCCGAGTTCTCTGTCGTCACTTAACTTTGCATTGGATTTGGTTATTGTACTTTGCCCCTGAATGTGGATGAAGCTGTGGGCGAGAGGCCAGCAGGACCCGCCTGGATGTCCCGGTGTTGGCGACCGTGGGTCAGGGCTGCTAGAAGGTGGGAGCCGGCTGCCTGGCCTCCTTTCTCCTCCAGAAAGAGCCATTCTTTGGCATTTGTGTTTGCCAGGAGGAAGGCGGATGGTAGGGACAGAGGGCTGGTCGGCCCTCAGGGCTGGACCCCTCTGAGGGGACTGTAGTGCCTGACCCTGGCCTGTCCTTATTCGACAGCTGGAGCTGTAAGCACTGGCCCAGTCCCCCCACCCCGCCCAGCCGTGTACTGCCTGGGTTCCCCTCAGAAGGGAAATTTGTATGGAAACATCTTGGCAGCAAGTGGAAAAAGGTGTATGGCCCATGAACCAACTGCAAACTCCAAGAAACCTGTGTCTGCCTCTGCCAGCAGCGAGTCCTAAACAGAATGGAGAACTCGTAGCTGTCCTCAGCCGTAACTACTGTTTCCGAATGTTGCTGCCGCATAAATTTGTCATGTCAGCCAGCCGGCTCCGGCTCCGTGTGCGAGTGTGTGTGTGTGTGTGTGCGCGCGCGTCTGTGTCTGTGCGTGCGCGTGCGTGCGTGTCACCACCGGAGCATTTAGGGCTTGGTACAAGATGTTTCTCAAATGGCAAAGGTTTTTCGTGTGTGTTTGTTTTGTTTCTTTGGAAAAAGAAAAAGAAAGGAAAATTATGCAGAATCGAAAGCATTCAGATTGGACGACCTGCTCGTATTCCGATCAGTCGCTTCCACTGTTAGCATCGTACACATGATTGTGATTTTTATGTCAAAAGAAGCCAAAACTTGCAATACTATTTTTAGCAGACAAAAAAAAAAAAAAAAGAAAAGAACTAAGTATAAAATGTATAAATATTTTTGACTTGAACATTTGGATGGCACTGGGTGCAAGTAGGACATCCATCCTTCGGACGGAATGTTTGGAAAAGAGAGACTTTTAAAAAGGAGACGTTTGTTTTAAAGAGTCTGTTTAGGGGTTAAAGTACTGTAACTCACGACTGTTAAAAAATAAATTTTCCTGTGCTGTAAAGGAAGGTTTCACAGTACCACTGAGTTAGATTTCAGCCACAGAAGATGCTTCGCTTTTTTTTTTTTTTTTTTTTTTTTTTTTGGTCTTTTTTTAAGGAGGAAGCCTTTGTTTTGTTTTCCTGAGCCCTCACTTTCTTTTTGTGCTGTTACTCGGTAGAGTCAAGACTGTTACTTTTTAGCCATGGCTGACATTGTATCAATAACTAAAACTGAAACATCCAAAAGCGACCAGGGAAACAGAGGGCTTCAAGCGTGCTCAGAGCCGTTTCAGACAGTGGAAATCCATGACAAGCAAACAAAAGGATGTGATCATTAATTGTAAAGCGCTTTGTAAAATTCACATTTACAAAATAATAAAGTCAGTTCAAACCTAAGTTTCCTGGACTTGACTTGACCCTGTGGGGTTTGGGGGAGACGCAGAGAAGCCAAGGTTGGGCTGTTGAAGGCGGGGTGGCCAGTGGTCCCCCAGGGGCAGCCTCAGGACCCCTGCCCCTGTTAGCCGCGTCCCCAGGCCAGCTGTCCACACAACAGGGTAGGGATCTGGCTGTGGGGTTCAAGGCCACCTGACCCGTCTCTTGCTCTCCCCAGTGTTTTACAAGGTGGGTAGGATGTCTGCAGGTATTAGTGTGCCTGTTAGAGGGGAGCCCTGTCCGGACCCCCAGGCGACCTGCCAGGGCGGAGGAATCTGCTTTTCAGGGCCTTGGTTTTATCATCTGAGAAGTGGGGCAGCCCCTGCCTCACCTACCACCCAAAAGGTGCATGGCTCCCTCTTTCCCTCCCCCTCCCCCCCTGCCACCCCCTCCCGGGCCACGTCTGCCCCCAGGTGCACAGAGAGACAAGTGCAGGTGGGCAGAGTCTGGGCCCACGGGATTGGCCTTCTCTCCAGCCCTGAGGCTGGTGTCCTGGGATTCAGGCTGCGTGGCCAGCCCCACTTCCCTTTGCTCCTCTGGCGTGTCCACAAGGACAGGCCGAGTGCTTTGCAATCATGTGTCCCCCAGACCTGGGGTCCTGCCGGGCCCTTGATGGGGGCCTCCTACGTCTGGAAGCACTTTCCTCTGGACACCTGCATGGTGAGCTCCTCGCTTCCTGCTGTCATGTGAGGGTCTCGTCCAGGGGACCATCCTGATCACCTCACGGACACCCCTCCCTGGCCTCTCTTCCCCTTCCGCAGGGTTCGTGGCACCTGCTCTCCCGGAGGGAAGTGGTGAGTTTATTGGGCAGGGCTTCATGGCCGTGTTCCCAGAAGAGGATCCTCTGGGCCAGCACAGGGCAGCCCCTGATGTCTTAAATGGATGGATGTGGTTTCCATACGGGCCCCCTGGATGGAAGGGCCCCTGTGGCAATGCGGGTGGTGGCTTGGGGTCACCCTGAGCCATTACCTCCTACAGGAGCCACATCACCACACTGTCCCCACCAGGAATGCCCAAGGGGTCTGTTCCCTGGTGGGGGCCAGGAAACACGGAGCATTCCGGTCCCCATCCCACCACCAAGTCCAGCCTCAAGCTGCCAGGGTAAGTGCGTCTGACTCAACTTCCCTGGAGAAGGAGCAGAGCCACTGGCTCTCAGGACTGTCCTGCCCTGGGCTCTCAGTGTCATCCTCCTGGAGAAGGAGCAGAGCCCCCGGCTCTCAGGACCGTCCTCCTGGAGAAGGAGCAGAGCCCCCGGCTCTCAGGACCGTCCTCCTGGGGCTGTCTCTTATACACATCTAGATGTGTATAAGAGACAGGGGTGGACTTGGCAGACGCTGAGTGTCCAGGCACCTGCCTGGCTGGTGGGGAGCTTGGTGAGGACAGACAGCTTGGATGCACACCTGCAAGACCCCAAATGCCCCATCCAGGTGGGTTCCAGGCCACCCCAGCAGCCAGGACTGCTGAGGTCTGGGCAGCGCGGTGAGGGGAGGAAGGGTCATGGAGAATGCCCCAGTCCTGCCCAGGAATCCCGCCACTCTGGGAGGGGGCCCACCCAGCCCAGCCCAGCCCAGCCCTTCTCCCCCGAGTCAGCCCTGGTTTTCCAAGGAGGAGGGGGAGCCAGGCACCTGCTGCCCATCCCATCCCATGTCCCTTATCCCCCATCCCCCGTCCTTCCAGTGGCTGCCTCGCCCTTGCAGCCCCGACAGAAACCGGCTGAGGCATCAGGGCACCTCCCCCTCCTGGTGCCCCTTTGTCAGTTTGGACAGGAGGGTGCTGCGTCAGCAGGACCCACGGCTTTGTCCCCGGCCCTTTGTACTTCGGCACAAAAGGGTCAGGAGCCCTGGGTGGAGGAGGGGCCTGGGAGGGAGCTGAGCCCAGAGTCTGGGGAGGGAAGGGCGCCTGCGGGGAGCCCGAGGGGCTGGGATGGGACCCTGTGACCTCCCTCACTCCTGAGCCGCTTTGGGTCACGCGTGCCTTCTGGCACCCGTGGGATGGACAGACCCCACTCTGATGAGAGGAAGGCTCCCTGGGCTGCCAGTGAGAGCACCCCTGCCTTCACCCGCCTCCCAGCCTGATTCTGCTGTTACCCAGGGGCTAGGGGATGTCCAGCCCCGCCCTGTGCCCGTCCCACCAGGTGGCCTGTGAGGAGTAGGCTGGCCGGACATTCTGTTTGGTGGTGGACACAGGCCTCTTGGGGAGGAACGATGGTGTGGGTGGGGGAAGTTTTACGGGTAAAGGGAAGGAGGGCGGGGGCAGCAGGTTAGGGGCAGAGGGCCCCTAGCTGCTCGCCTGGAGTGGCTGACCCTGCCGTGGGTTACTGTGGCCCTCAGGCCAGGACTCTCTCTGGTTTCAAAGACTAGAAGGTGTCTGGCGGTGGGCACCTCAGGCCGGAAGAAGAGTCCGGGGGCAGGAAAGGGGGTGGGGCGGGTAGGGGGAGGATGGAGCCTCATCGCCCGCCCACAGGAACATGGCTCCCATGACCTCTTGATCACTGGGGGCCCCACGTAGGTCTGAGCACACGGGTGAGGGACAGGAGATAGATTTGAGTGGTGGGGTGTCCACGGGTTCCATGGGCTGTAACGGAGTTGAGGGGTGGAGAAGCTTGGAGAGGGCTGCATCCCCACCCTCATGTTGAGGGCCTGAGGCCACACCCTCCCCTTGGGGCTCCCTGGGGATCTGTGGCCATCCTGGAGGGCTGGAGCTGGGAGCGGGTAGAGGAAGCCTGGGGTGGGGTTTGGGGGAACTCCAGGTAGCCCCACTGGAAATGCGGCAGAAGTGAGCTGAGGGTTGGGCTTCCAGAGGGAGTGGGGAGCTGCTGTGGAGGGGTCCGCCTGGCTGCCTGGGACCCCACCAGGCTGAGGGGGGCGATCTGGGTGGGCCAAGGGTACTGAGCAGGGCTGGAGGTGGGAAGGTTCCCGATGATAAGTCCCCACCCACCCTCTCCAGGTCCTCTCTCGCAGGCAGGGCTCAGCTGGCTGCGGAAGGCTTGGGGGCCCAGAGAGAGAGGAGTTTGGGTGGGGTGCACAGACCCCTCAGTGAGCAAATAGCCAGGCTGAGCCAGCAAAGGAACTGGCTCCCATTCCCACCCACCCTCGAGACCCAGGCTGGGCAGAGCGGGCGTCCTGAGCTGGGGGCAGGGGCCTCGAGATGGGGCCAAGGCTGACTGAGGTGTGTGGCTGGCTGCCAGCTCTAGCAGGTAAGATGAGGCAACCCAGGGAGGTCACTATGTGTCCCTCTGGCCCCCGTAGTCGGGCAGGTTCTGGAATGGGGCTCCCTGAGCACCAGCGCCAGGTGCCTGCCCTGGCACCAGGAGGCAGCTCTCCCTCGCACAGGAGCTTCAAGGTGCCCCCCTCCTTCCAAGCCAAGCCCTTGAGAAGCCAGCTCCATGGTGCCCATCCCTCGCCCCCCTCAACCCCTCTTCCTGGAGTCCTCTTGAGGCCAAAACTAGGTTTCCTCTCAAGGAAGCAGCCGTGGCCCCCAGCTGTGGGCCGCACTCAGGAGGGAGGGAGGGAGGGTCACACGGGACAGTCAGGAGGCAGATGGACAGAGGGACAGCCTCAGAGGTCCTGAGCACGTGTCTTCATCCCCCGCTCCTCCTCCCCTCCAGCTGGGAGGCTCCAGCAGCCCAGGAATGTCCACAGCTCTGGCTGCCCACTGGGGCGCTGGTTCCCCAGCTGTCCCATGTCCCTCGTCAGTCGGCCAGGACCGTTCCGGGAGACCAGCGCTTCCCAGTGACTTCTCATCGAAGGGGCTCTGGGACAGACACGACCCGGTTCAAGGTTGGGCTTGGGGCCTGTGAGCTGGTGAGAGGGCACCTGTCTTTCCAGGCACCTCAGCCCAGGGGTGGCCCCGGAACTGGGATCCCAGCCCAGGGTTGAGGTCTACCAACCACACCCACATGTTGAGGTGCCACCTGTCCCTTCACCTCGCCCCACCCCCACCACGAGGGGCTTCCTCTGCTCTCCTCCAAGGAGGGACGGATTGGGCTGTTTGGCCCTGTCCCTCAGGGGGCAGGGTGACATGGAGGTGGCTCTTTGGGAAGGGTGACAGTAGCAGTGGCAAGAGCATGCACACTGGCCAGTCAAGCTCAGGACACCTGTGAGGGAGTCAGCACCAGAGCTGGGGTGGGCCCCGGGCTCAGCCAGGCCGTCCCAAAGGCAAGGAGTCCTCCCTGGGGTGCCCTCAGA